TTACTCATATTACTCGCTTCTTTTTGGAACAAGCATAACACGATGGATTATTAATGTTTTAAACTTAAATAATTTCAAATTTACAGATTGAATTATATGGATTTTAATACTTTATATCTCTTACCTTTTTTATTCCATTTTTCTTATTAATTCATTCAGATTCTACTTTATCTTCAATCTACATTAGATGATGAAATAACCGGTTGGGATACCAGATGTTCTAACGATTTTTAGAAATAACCTGACAATAAGTAACTTGAAAGAATCATGCCTATAAAGTAATCTTTTACAAGTTACGTGGCTTTATTCTATATTTCTTATTTAATCTGGAAGTGGATAATACAGCAATTCCACGTGAAGACTCTGTAAGGTTAGTGCCGGTTCTAATCTCGGGTAAAGGAAGACGGTTGAGCGTAGAAATAGTAACCTTACTTCTTAAAGCGCAACCCTGCTGCGAAAACTGTACTCAGAGAGAACCTATTACGCTCACGTATGAGAGTTGAGAAGTCGTCATAGGGAAGAGTTTTGATGCATCATGGAAAAAACCTGGGGTCTTCGAAAACCACAAAGCCGATGCTCTTCTTGACAACCTGTTATTTTATTCCGATCATGAAGAATACCCCCCACACACACAAACACTTACATCAATGCTGTCCGAAGATCAAGAAAAGCACCTATAGGATGAGAAACGAATGCCTTACGAGCATCCTTCAAAGCAAAGAAGGAAAGGATGACAATGTCATCCAGTGATACAGACTTATCAATGATAGTAGAAAAGATGATAAAGATCACCTTTTATAAGAGGCTGCAGTTCGACATAAATAAACAGTCAGAAAAAGATCTAAATATCCGGATGGACGGCCTGAACGTCAAGGTGGGATGGACAATATCGAGTATGACTACATTATGGGTGACATATACTAGGATCAAGAAATGAGAATAGTGAGGAGCTGGCAAATATTTGTGGTTTTAAAAAGTCATAGAATACAGCATTTTCTCGCATAAACTCATACACTAAGCTACATGAGTTTCACCGAACCACACTGCGAGAAACCAGACTGATCACAATTGTAAAAGTGAAATATTCAGATAATCCATGAAAAATATAATGACAGAGAGGGGAGGAAATGCAGCTTCAGATCACCACCTGGCGATGACCAAGTTTAAGAAGAGTTCGACAATGGGAAAATTAGCATCACAAAAATCTAATACAGTCTTCCTTCAAGATATTAACAAGCTCATTCAGTTTAAGATATGTCTTGGCAACAAGTTACAAGCCTTACCTACTAAAAGCAGAGGAATCTACTGTAGAGAGCAATGAGACTGGGATTAACGAAGCAATAACTTCGAAATGTCAGGACTGCTGTGCCTCCAGAAACACCAGCATAGACGATGGATCTCCGTGAACAACTTGTCCAAGATTCTGGGAAGGAGACAAGAGGATAGCTGTGGTTGGGAGCCGCACAACCACGCAACATTATCAACAGAGTATTTTTAAACCGAATGAAAAATTCAGTAGACACCCAACTTCTAAATGAAGAAGCTGTATCCTAAAGGGTTCGGTTGTGTACAGACCAAACCGCGACACTACGCATCATTGTTGAACGGCCAGTTGAATGGAACTGGTCACTATACAACAACTTCCCTGACTACGAGGATGCATTTGACAGCATGCATATGAAGACCCTATAGAACCGTCCTCAATACTATGGAGTACCTAGGAAGAATGTCATCATCACCAAACAGAATTCCTACGCCATACTACATTGCAAAGTTGTTCATGGAGGCCAACTCACAGATTGATGCATTCCAAGTGAAGACTGGTGTCAGACAAGGCTGTCTACGGTTACATTTTCTTTTTCTGCTAGCTGACGGCTTGATTATGAAGACCTCCACACTTTACGAGGAGCACAGAGTACGGTGGATAGCTTTAACTCAGCTGCGTCGCTTCCACTTGGAGATCTCTTAGCTCAGTTGTCACATACACACCAGTAACAATACCTGCATTTTTAAACAGCTTCCTACACAAAATACACCACATCCATTGGACAAACATTATAAGCTATAACCTCCTCAGGTAGGGAACAAGCCAGCTACCAACTGAAGAGGAAATTAAGAAAAGACACTGGCGATAGACTGAACATACTATGTATTACAGAGAGAGCTTTAACTTGGAATCTTCAGTGCACAAGGAAAAGATTCAGACCAAAGAACACATAGCTCCAGGAATCAGACCTGCACATGAATATCACCTGTGATCAACTGAAAAGGAAAGCCTATAATGGAGTTATTCGAAAATTCATGGTCCGTGGCCTTTGTTCCATGATGGGTACCAGACTTATATAATAGTAGCAGAATAATATAGCAGTCAAACATGTTTGCTATTATTATTCCTGTTATTACTGCTGTTATTTAAGTTTCAAATAAGCAGAGTGATATGATATGTGCATAATGCCTTCATCTATCCCGTTTTTATTCACCAGACTACTTTCTACCTTTATTAAATTCAGATATAAACATTATTGCGGCAAGAATAATAATGGTAGGAATTATACAAGTAGGAGGCAGATTGATTAGGACGCGAATATAAATACCTAATAATCATATGGCTGTCAGTCAGTTGAACCTTAGCGAAGAACTTTCAAAATTTATACTCCAATCGATATTTAAAGGAGATATTTCATGCGGTCAACGCGCTTATATATTTTAAAAAGATGTTTTACCTTTTTTGAAATACCTTTTTGAAGCTGACTTACACCATGTTGTGTACTGTACTAATTTTTCATTTTCAGTAATCAGTACCTCATTTTCCTAAACAGATTGATACAGTATCTTATCGTGACCTTTTTAAACACATCTTATTTTACTTTTATGGAGTCGCTTTCTGCTTTAAAATTTTTTTCAAATAAACTGATGATCATGATGAGATAATTGAAAATTGATTATTAGTGTTCCATTCAAATGTTTGACCTAAAGTTACAGATGCTTACAGTCGTTTCTAAGGTGAAAGTTTCACATCGATCGGGAAAAAAAGCGAACTTACCTTTACAATGGACCACTTGGTAGTAGACAACAGCAACAATTCATTAATAAAGTTCAATATATTTTACATTATGTCAGTGCTCAAATAAGCAGCATAAAATCCTGAACATAAATTGAAATACACTACCGATCAATAATACACAGTATAAATGTAAACAAAAAACTAATGCAAACAATTAAGTTACAAAGTCATATGCAGTCAAGTTGCTTACATAATAAATTTCATCTGGTTCAGTTCAACAGCCGTAAACTATAAATAAAGCTAAACAACTGTGATAAGAGTTCGAAACTAGACAGTAAATTTCCAAGTGTAAAACGCGATTTAATAATTATACATTTTCGATTATGACTCATCGGTATCAATATGTGGGAAAACTAGCCATATAAAATAAATGATTAAATGAAGTAGATAGAGTACAATTAAATTCACTGATCAATCAGATTATATGAGAGATGGAGTAGTCCCATGGCACATGCAGTTTTATCACGTTTTTATAGTTTAGGTCATAGACACTTGATGATGATAAACTCTGCAAACCCAAGCGACTATAATAATCATTGGTTTTTTAAGTAGATAATTATCTAAAAGGACTTTTTCCATTTTTATGCAGTTTGTTTGCGCTTATAAGAATAATATTAGTCAGTAAAAAACTTTAAGGTTAATGCTTCTTACGATTCAGACACATCACTTAGTTATTAAATCATATTTTGACTAGTTCACACATACCCAGCTAATCAGAAAGGGATTAATTTCCAAAACGAAGATACTCCAACTTTTTTTATCTGGATAACAAAGAAGTTACAGCTTACAACAATTGATTATCTAGACTATCCTATTATTGTCAGTTGACTTGGTTGCATTGACAGGGTTGGAAACTCAAGAAGTTCAACTCAGTGTGAACATGAACTATAATCGACACAACAAAAATCGTTCAAAAAGGCTTTTGTTCTTATGGCTACTGAGGGACAGCTGAAGTTGTGGGTATGTGGGGAAATCAATCTCAATGAATGGGATAAACTACAAGTGGCTGCACCATAGCAAAAAGTAATTGATAATATATAACCCAGTACTCCTTATTCACTTAATATTTTGTGAATAAAAGCGAACTAGATGCATTTGTTTCAGTCAGTTGTCATGTTTGCTTATACCTTGAATAACTGTTTTGTTTAACACAATAATACAAAAACATTTATTCTTTGGATAAGATTGTGGAATTAGTTGAATTTTATATTTTGCTTCACCAACTGACCCTAATTAATATAAATTTTGAAAATCAGGAAGTATTGGACGGCTGTTTCGTCATACTATGGGACTCCTCGGTAGTGTGTATTGACAGCTCCACCGAAGATTAAACCCACGAACCTTGGGTTCGCAGACAGTGTTTAGATCACGCAATCGGCTTCAAATAGTTTATATATTTTACTCCCAGCGATTGTGATACTGCACATCCACCTTCTAACCCCATTGGTGGGTTTTCTTAAAGACAGTCCATGATGTAATCTATAAAATTAGTGTATTGATTTATTCTCATTCCGTGGATGCTCGGACAAGTTTAATATGTAACTATTTATCAGACTGACTAATTTATCCTTACCATTGCCTAAGGATTTTTCATATCAGACCTCCATGCACATTTCACGCCAAATGACATATTCACAGTAAAAATTCCATATTCATGATTTTAACATAATTGGATAATCTTTTGGTACATGGTTGTTTTCTGAAGACTATTTATGTTCGATAATTTGACTTTTTACTATTTCTCAGAAGGAGATTGCATCGGTCTGTCGAGCTAAACGTTGGAGTTATTTTTGATTTCAATCGCTGAAATTTTTCGCATACAGTTTTCTTTTAAAGTCTTTTGTTGCCAAGATGTAAATATACATTCTGCATGTCATCCAAATGTAATGTTACATTTTTTGTTTTCGTCACTTATTTTTTTGCTTTCTTAAAAAAGAGTATTTCAAACGTATTGCAAGGAATTCGTGATCAAAATGATTTAGGTCATCCAATTTGTTCACATCTTCGACAAGGTAATTGGTTAGCCCATTATTTAACTGAACGTTTGGCAAAATTACCAAGTAATTCTAATAATCTTATCACTGAAGCAATTATTCAAATGAGTGATATTTTAAAAATTATGTATAAACCTCTGTCAAATATCCCGAGATATTTAGTCCCTGCATACTTTGAAGCATTGACTGTTACATTAACAGAATTTATTAAACTCGAGGTTAGTTCTTTTCTTTCAATTTCTTATTGTTTATTTCTTTTTTGGTCATCGCATTTCGATTGTTATATTATCGTTGATTTATGAGATCGTTACTTTCAAATTATGTAAGGCTGAATTGTGTGTTTCGAGTTTACTTTGTTAAAGTGAAATGATCGAATAGTTTAGTCATGGTTAAATATAACTCAAAATTAGTGGTCATTGAGTGGTTAAACCACCATCATTTAACCTGGAAATTACAATTTGATCCGTATTATTGTTGTCCGATTACTTATTAGTGAATAGTGTTCAACATATACACTATCTTTTGTTTTGGGATAGATAAATTATGGTATTTCTGGATTACTATTTGTCCTCGGATTTTAAAGAGTTAAGATTTCCTTAGGGAATTACTTCCTTGTTCAACATTGAAGTCTCATACTTTTTTCAACTTGTCTATTCCCTCTATAATTGAATGCCTTCTCAACGCCTTGTTTTAAATGAATTAATCTTTTAAAAGAACAATACAACGGACTGACTAGTAAACTTACTACATTGACTCATTTGACCGGAATCGATTCTCAAATTTCAACCAAATGTATTTTTTTAAGGGAAAACTCGGCTGCCGGGTAAACGTTATGTCGGGCGGTCGTCCGACTCTGATACTGATGTGCATATTTCCTATGTGCAACTCCGACCGGATACTTGAGCGAGAGAACTAAGAAAGAGTAAGAAGCTTTTATTGACTAACCCAAATGGATTTATATGCACAACCTCATTCATTAATATAGATGTGTTCCCCTAAGAAAACTAAACCAAATTTTAAACTTATAGTGAGTATTTGTTTTCCTCGAAAAATTAAATTAAATCTTGATCAATGACGTTCACCCGTCCGCATCTTTCATTTATTTGGCTTTGATCTGATATGTCTGACAGATCTAAACTGTCAAAATCACTGTGTATATGATATTCAACTGACATATTCTTTATTATCTATATGATAGATACTGAGTTATACGAAGTTAAAAATGACCACAAAACAACCAATGAAAATATCCTCCTGTTCGCCTCATTAATGAAGTTGGATATAAACGGTGAAAGTTTTGTATTGTGAAGAGTCAATCAAAATCGTCGGAACTTTAAATATTTGTGAGGAATTCGAAAAAGGGATTACTTATTATATACCATGTAAATCGAGCATCAGAAATATCTTGATCTGATGCTCAGAGTGTCTAAAATTATGTTTTATCATCATATAGCAGATATGTTAAGCTTATCAAATGCTTAAGTCTTTTTATATAGATTGTGTATAACTTACAAATCAATTCCAAGTCTAAATATTAACCAGGAACAATGTGGGGACCCTTTGTCTCCTCATAAGGACTTGGAAGAACGGATATTCTATAGCCATATAGAAGAATTAATTAGTCATTGGTTTTCCGATTTAAAGTTGGTAACCCTGTTGAAGATTCCATGAATTGGGTAAAATTTATATATTTTACCCCCACAAACCACTCATCTACAGTAACTATTGATTTATTTGTTTACAACGCTCTAAAATTTGTCGAAATCGTTTCAAGAATCACCTAAGTTCGTCACTGTGTTGTACTCTTACCGACATGAAGATCATATTCACCTTAATTTTAACCATTCATTCCAACTAATTACCTTAAATAAATTGTTTCAAACTACTTTAAGTTGAAGATAAAAATGACTTGCCTTTGTCAGGTCGATTGTTTAATATTTTCCTTTATCTTATTTTATCGTTTAGAGTTAAAATACACCTAAATCGGATTCTACAATCTAAAATATGTATCTTTTCATGAAATCGAAATTCTGATTGTTGTTTTCCGCTTAATCAATATCACATACCATAATAAATGCATAGCTTTTATCCCGTTTATCATCCAATTTTGTTTTCCTAAATTTTCTATTGATTAATACAAACATTTACAAACTATGGTCTCTTCTATTTTATACTGATGAAAAAAGAAAACAGAAATGTCAACTAAGTTGATGCATTTAGTCACTTTGTTTACCAAATACTCAAATAACTTCAACTTTTTCTTCATTTTAATTTTTTTAGATTACATTACGATTTGCACCTTGGATAAGAAGTAGTTCATCACTTGTGAAAAAATTAGCAGTAGCAACTACTCAGTTTTACGGTTTTATTGGAAATAGTCGTCTGCCTGGACGTGTCATCCAATTTAATAAAGATTCTCAAAATCCAGAAATCGAAGCAATGTTTTGTAGTTTAGCTGCAGGTTTGCCACATTTTGCGGAAGGAATGTGGCGTTCTTGGGGAAGAGACACATTCATTTCTGTCCGAGGTTGCCTTCTTCTAACAGGACGTTACCAAGTAAGTCAAAAATGTAATAGTTGGTCTCATGCGAAGTTAAAACCATCAATATTTTTGAAATTGAAATTATTGAATAATTATGATTAAAATGCAGAGTATCTCTTTCTTGTTGTGTTTCGGTAATCACAATCCTACATTTCAAGACCACCAAAGGAATATATATTTTCACGTGTGCAATTAACTTTTAGCCTAAATTCTAGAAGACATTGTTCGCTTACACGTTATCTATATTTTTCGTTAAAAATATTGATCGCACATGATAGTTTTAATTTAATACAAAGTTGTAGGTGACGAATTAAAAACAGTTGAGGTGATTTCGATCTTCGGCAGATATATGTGGCTGGTTCATCTGTTAAGCTTGTATAGCTGCTACCAATTTTCTGTTGATTAAATTACTTGGTTACGTTAATAAGGCCTAACATCAGACGTTAATGCCACTAACTGTAAGTTTGTTCTCAGAACGCTACCTAATTGAGGTCCACAATACAACATGAACTGATCTTCAGAGATAGTGTTGGTGTTACTCAAAATCAAATAGAGAAGTATAAATAAACCCACTCCTAACTTATACACACAACAGTTTTTCTTTATTATACACATTTGTTACTTATCTACTTAAATTTATCTTGTTTAGTTTGATGTCTTTCTTTTGGTGATTCTCGCTTTCTATATGATTGAAAAATGTTACGAATTTACCAAATGCGTAATACTGAATATATGTTAACGGTATTCCATTTTACATAAGTGACTCTGCTAATATGAACAAAATGATTTATAAAAGCTCATAACAGTCTATAGAGGGCACCCAGTGTTATTCTAAGAACTATGGGCTTTCTGACTTGGGTTTTAAAGAAACTATATATTCTCAGTTGAAATCTTTTGATGATATGGTTCAAATGTTTTTATTTTTTACTTGGATTGTGATATGCTTGATGCTATTACGAGTTCACCTTTCTCGGTAAACGGAACAAAAGTCGAAGACACAGTGACACGATAGGCTATTCTAATCCGTTGTCTTTGACTCTGCTAACTAGATCAAGAAGTTTTGATGAGGCGTGGAGAATGTAATCTACAAGCACCCAGAAATACGAGGTCACTAAACACACAAATGAAGCTTATTTATACAATGATAGAAACGCCCGGAGAGCCACAAAATAGCGTTAAAAAAAACCGTGAACCAATGACAATCAAGGATTTCCGAGTGGGAAATGTAAACTGTAGGTCAATTAAGCGTCCTTTGGCGCGAACACATAAAATTCAAATTTTCAGAATAAAATTACAAAATTTGGACCTTTACCAAGTGAGCTCTTGGGACTTAACGTCCCCAACACACCTCCCCTTCTTAATAGATTACTTCCCTGGGGTTGAATTGCATCTTGACTTCTGTTCGCCGCTGTCGAAGAGCCCACGTTTTGGAACAGAGATTGGCTTGGTGTTGAGTTTTTCCTCTTGGTGGGGCTGACGATAAGTTGAAGGTATCAAGCAGGATGTTAAGGGGGAGATTTACTCCTGTTGATGGACGATCTGGGGTTAGCCGTTTTCGAATCTGATTCCGATGATGTGACCATCATTCGCCTCCTACCTTTACTTCGTACACGACACGGCCTACTTTTTTGCTCACTCGCGCTTATGTCCATGGACCATGGGTTTCTCTTTAGTCACGGGCAAACACAAAACATCTCACTTCGTACGTGGATTGTTTTTAATACTTTATCTGTACTAGTGTTAATGCATTACTCGGATGCATCGGGCTGTGGATCGTTTTCAGTCTTCCTTCCATCAGGATTTCTGCTGGACACTTTTGCTCCGGTACCGTCTCAGATTGTCAACACCCGAGTAAATTGGGCTCTAATTAGGTTGCTCAGTCAGATTCTTCTCGTTCTTATGTACATCGATCAACCCAATATCGTACGTGTTTCTACGTTGTACAGAATTGCATATTCAAAGCAGTATTAATGACCTTGTAAATTAATGAATACTTTATATTCAGTCTGCTAATCATAGTCGACGTAAGACCTTGAATAAACTTCATATTCACAAGTCGCTACACTGTATCAACAAAGCGAGGTGAAATAAATCGAACTAATAGCAGGAAATTTAAAATATTAGTAGTATCAATGGTAGTAGGAAAGACTAAATGTCAAGAATATGATTCGACAAGAAGGAATAAGATAAGGGAATCAAAAGCATTAAATGACTTTTATACCCAATATTTAGAAGACAAAAATGACAATCCATCTACAACACTATGATCAGTTTTGAGCCATCTCACCTTTACTATATAATCTACAACAACCAATATATCTCAAATTAACAGTCAATAGCTTCATAGAATGACAATAAGCGTTCTTGCAACCTTCTTTTACGCCAGTCAACATCACTGAACAACGTAGGCGGTGTTCGAAGATGTTCAGCATATGCAGTAGTGACTATCCTAGATGAAAATTTGGTTCAATTAAATAAACAGTAATGAAATGAAAAGCTTAACTTAAACTACAATAGGTATTATATTCTATATAGCTGTTATAAGTCCACAACTTTGCAAATCACACTGTTTTTTTCAGTAAGGATTAGTAGGCTGTATTGTCACTAAAACATTGTAGACTGATAACATGTTGTTCTGGCCACAGAAATCTCCTCGTCAGATTTAACTGTTATCCGTTAAAATGTATACACTTACGGTTGTGCTTGGTCAAATAATCCAATCTCTTTTATAACTGTCGATCATGTAATGTAATGAGATGATGAAGTTGATCTGGAAAATATGATGTATTTGCGGTGTACATTTCGAACAATCTGGTCGTATATGTACTTGTTAAAACGTTTTATATGAAAATTGATAAGGCTTAATTAAGTAGAAGTCTAAGAAATATTAAGTGGTAATTGGAAATAAAGGAGAAACATCAACATAATATGAAATGAATAACAAGTAGTTACATCACTTTTGTCTCATAACTACATTCATGATCGTTAACTTTTAATAAACAGTTTGAAATGGTAATTTTACTATTTCCACTTCATGATAAGCAACTTAATATTCTCAATTCAGACTTAGGCATGTTATTGGTAAGTGGAAGTAGTCTTTTTATTTTTATTCTTCGTGCATTCCAGAACGCAATATGAATCGTACATTGTATGTCCACTAAGCCATTCCTTATCACTTGATTTCACTACACATATTTATGATCTAATTGTGGATAATTATAAAAAATACTGAGTCACGTTAAACCTTTAATATCAGATCATATTTTCAGTCTAACAAATTTCGCTTGCAAGCGTGACAAGAGTGACATGAAGTTTCTCTTTACCACAGACAAACCCATTTAAGTTTTTTGATGTAAATGTTTTTCCCCTTTTAGTGTAGAAATATTATTACGGGAGATTGTTTACAATGATCATTATTTCTAATGATAGTGGAGAATTTTTGATTAATGACGAGTGTTATACTAATCGTTTCAAATGTCAAGTGATCTCTTGAAGCTTTCAGTGGAAAGCAAAAGGAAAATATCCGTTTTTATTCCTACTTTTTTTAATCTAACTTCAATCAATTCACGATATTGCACAACGATCATATTAATGCTGTTGGTTAGTGGCTGTTCCACTCCCGATGTTGTTGAACTGCACTGGTCATTGCCTCTCAATATGACCCTGGGAACCATCTCTTGAATTTAGTCCACGTGACCTCATGATTATCATAAGTATACAGGGTCTGTGGAGGTTGTTAAATATGAAGTTTCACATCACGAACTGTCGAGGAGTCCTATACTAGAACGAAAGAGCTGTCTAGTGCCTGATTGAGTGTAAAAGAGACAGTGATGCTAACTGAAGGTTAATTCTTAATAGTAAAGTGTTTTTTTATGAGTATGCGGCTACCCAAAGAGTTGTGCCTTGTGTGACACTGTGTTTGATATTGGATGTAGTCATGGATGATATTCACTACTGAAGTTAGGCTAAAGTCCCTGTCCAATGCTTACTGGTTTTCAATACTACAACAATCAATATCATTAGTGTGTGACAAATATTTATCTCACTAATAAAGAGATGTATGTTGACTCAGTTATTTCAAATTAAGATTAAAGTTGTAATGATCATAATAACAACAAAAATGCAAGAATGAAACAAATACTAGTCTCCCATCTTTGTATGACAACCTCACTCAACTGTTCAGAATATTCTTCAAATGATTAGCAACCAAATTTATCATCATTTAAATTTATTTAACTTGTTCTTTTCGAGTTAAACTTCAATTTAATTGTAACCCTATTGAGATCGAACTATTATATATTATGACTTATTTCGGTTTATTCATTGAAAAAGTCTTGGTGAAAACTTTCTGTTACGTCCTTGATCTGTCTACTCAATAATACACAGAAGATAACTTGTATCGATCCAGATTAAGTCCTTGAACGATAAGCTAACTGGTTAACCTTAAGGCTAGAAATGCGTGAGTCCGAATCGAGACTAACTGTCTTGGATAGAAAGACGGAAACTATTCTATCACCTAATTAATTGACAAGTACGGTGAAAAAAACGAGTCAACTGGAACACCACTCGATTTAGTCTCAATCCCGATTCAGATTGGTGTAAAAAGATACACAAGTAAATAGATGACTAACATGACCACAACGTACAAACAAATAGAAAAGTACAATTATTTACAAACTGGGCATTAGGGTATAAAAATTGAGTACCAAAGGTTACCTTTAAATTACAGTAATTTTGTAATAGAACTGGGAATAACAGTGAATTGTGCGTCAAACGAAAGATTATGTTGTATGGGATAACTAAGGGACCAAACTAAATATTAGTACTTTACAAAATTTGAATTAGGTAGAATGTTTCCAAAAATAGCTTTCGTTATTTTTCATGGCTTCTTTGTTTCTGTGTTCATATCACTTTCTTTTCTCTTCATTAAACAGGATGCTGCCAACATTATTCTCAGTTATGCTAGTTTACTAAGACATGGACTAATACCAAATCTTATAGGAGATGGTTACACTGTTAAACCAAGATACAATTGTCGTGACGCCGTTTGGTACTGGTTATATTCTATCGTTATTTACGAACAATTTGTTTCAAGTACTAAAGAATGCCGTCTGGAAGGAGATAATTCCTCTAGTATTTTAAATTGTCCAGTTTATAGATGGTTTCCAGATGATGATACAGTTGGTTGGCCGGATGAATATTTGACTAATTCATTATCTAGTCAACGTATACAACCCTTGCATAAAACAATGCAAGAAGCTTTGCAACGACATATTATTGGTATTGAGTTTATCGAAAGGAATGCCGGGCCAACTTTAGATGAACATATGAAACCGGAAGGATTTAAGGTTAGTTGTCGATTGTAGCTTATGTAGCATCCAAATGTCACTTTTGTTTTATGTGTTATTAAAGGCAAGGATTTAATCATGCATGAATCAATTTATGAATAGGCTATATTAGGAATTGAATTTTTATACTCTTTACTCACTCTTAAATTTAAATCCACTCAGTATTGTACGAAACACTGAACGGTTTACGTATCCTGAATACGACAATGTTTATTGATTAAATGTATTCTATGAAATAAAGCAACATAAAGTATATTACCTGAAAAGGTAAGAATCTCGATACATTCGTTTTTTTCATTTCATAATAGGTTCAGGCCAATATTGATTTGAATACAGGATTCCCTCGTGGTGGCAACGCTTTTAACTGTGGTACGTGGATGGATAAAATGGGCAGTTCATCAAAAGCTGGTAACCAGGGTATACCTGCTACTCCTCGTGATGGTTCAGCAGTCGAGTTAGTTGGCTTGGCGTATGCAGTTGTATCGTGGTTAGCAGAATCCCATAATCAAGGTCCAAATTACGCTGGCTATTATCCTCATGCAGGTGTTCAACTGGCAACTGGTAAGGAACTTTCATGGAAAGAATGGTCAAACATGTTGAAAAATTCCTTCGAATCGCACTTTTGGATTCCGGAAAGCACAAAAGAACCTAACTTACTATATAATAAAGGAATTTATAGGGATTCTGTTGGTTCGTCTGGAGGATACACAGATAATCAGCTACGCCCCAATTTCCTTATAACTATGGTTGTAGTAAGTTTTAAACTATCCAATATATGCATTTTTACTAATATTATACTTGTTTAATTCAGCTTAACACTACATAATATTATATGTGTAATTGAATAGATCTTGATGAACGACGAATATCTCTTACTACAACTATACATGACGATCTTATCAATATTTTTCTTACAAAGTAGTTTTTCGATAAACATTTAGGTGTTATGCTTATGTGGACAGTTAGTCAAATAATATCAGTTGTAACCCTTATTATCATTTATTTTACTAACAAACTGTCAGTCGTTAACTTCAGCTTAGTAAATGCAATTGCTGTCAACCTTATTATTTAAGGATTATTTGTAAAACATATTAATTAATATTAATTCTCCATCAGTCTAGTATTCTTTAACACTTCACTCGACTGGTTCTCAAATGAAAACACTACTTAGATAGAAACGTAAATATACTACACAGTAAATGACAAGTTCAGTCAGTATAGTAAGTAAATATCAGTGGACACTTAAACTCTACACAGGAAATCTCAGCTCATCCACTAGTGCTGATTGATTGATAATGAACTGATAAACGCTCGCCATCGTGATTTCTAAAACATGCCTAGTCAAGCCCTTATCATGCTATTAATAGGAGTTACAAATAGCTGCTTGGTTATGAATATTTGTTCACGCTAATATTTGTTGCGCTAAAATCGTGATTTAATTTGCCTTTAGTAACAAATCAGTTACTGAGATACCCGTTTTTTAGTTATTACTGTAACATAAAGGTCACCTGGAAAGCGCTATGACAAAAAGTATTCGTTTTTGTAGCGTAAAAACTGCGTTGTGATAAATTTATAATGATGATCGTGCTAGGTTTTGTTATCATTGGACTGTATTAAGTAGTACCAGTCAAAAATGATGTATCACTTTCTTTATGCGATAACTTTTCTCCTAGTAAAAATTTGTAAAGAACAGATAAAACCCTTTAACAAGTTCAATTTATCCTGTATTGGCTGTTTAAATCTTTGCATTGACTTTTAGGACTGTAATCGGTCAGTCTCTTATTGGCATATATACATCCTATGCTGATTGTCTCGATATTAAGTTACAAGCGGTATAATAAGAAATGGATGGCGGCTAGCACTGAAATTCAGGACGCTCGTTGTTGTTCGTCTTATATTTAATTCACATTTTGAAGAGCTTATTTGTCATTAAAAATACTGTTTCAGATGTTACGTGACTAAATATTCATTACTTGAATACTTACACAATACCAGTGCACAAATCATTTTATAATTTCATTTGTTTTTGCGTGCATGTTGCCATTATTTCCCTTTTCTGTTCATTACAATTTGCTTTGTAATAACACCTACTGGTCGCGTCAATGTGATGATATAGCTGGGTCACAGATCCATTCATTGTAAATGTACCAATAACTAAATGGGTGTAATTTTAACCAAGTGTACTTTTCGTTCCGTCTCCGTCTATTAAAGAATTTGATTTCAAATTGATAAAATTTAACTGAAATCATGAACCGATTACTGTTAGACCACCGTTGAAAACCTGGAAGGCCGCTCCGTCGTAGTATGGGACTCCTAAGCAGTGCGCATTCACAAACCCACACGTGGGAATCGAACCATCAACCTTCCGTATCACACGCGAACACTTAACCTCCGAGCCGGAATCCGACGCTGCTAATGTCAAGCTCCAACCAACCCACGATATTGTGCGACCATCTTCACTGTCTTCGGTGGGTATCTTTTTCACATCCGCGAAACTTAAGATCCTGAGTTCAGTGCCCACATGCGGAGTTTTATACTAGGACGAAAAGGCCTTCCAGTGCTTCTAGGTTTTTTACGGTGGTCTAACATTGTTGGGCTCATGATTTCAGCTAGACTCAATAATCTCCACGCCTCCATACTGTTAATGAAATTCATTGATTTCTACTGTTTTATCTTATTTTCCTAAATTAACTGATCTCTAAACAAAATTATTCTAATAGGCCCATGAATTATTTACACCTGAACGGGCATGGAATGCACTGGAAATAGCTCAACAACGATTAACTGGTCCATTTGGTATGTGTACTTTGAGTCGAGATGATTTAGCTTATCGAGGATATTATGATAACTCAAATGATAGCTGTGACTTTTCTATAGCTCGTGGTTTTAATTATCATCAAGTAAGTCATTACTTTATTTCTTTATGTGTTAAATTTTCACCTAATGAAATGTCTATCACTTTACACCTTTTTTAATCATATTCGCATTGCAAATGATTTTGCGTTATTTTTATCTTTGTCAATAGTAAAGCCACAACTGTTATTATTAGGTTATAAATGGATTACCAATTTTTTTTATGTCTTTCGTAAGTTTCCTTGGTTTTGTACAGGGATATCATTACCTTGATTTCAATGCTCTCATTAGTCATTCCTTAGTAACGTCATGCACATATAGTGCACAATTCATACTAATGTACTTCATGGGAAGTGTTAATCTTCTAGTTTCTTCAAGTATGACAGTAACGTTGACTGTGTGGGTCGAATAATGATATTATTATTCGTCTGTTAAACAGTTATAAACTTTCATGTTAGTAAGTTAATAGCGTTAAGAATAATCTTAGATTCTATCGATTTAATGTAGCTTATATTTGCACATGCATTGGATTGAAGAATTAAATAATAACGTCATATTATATACATATTCACGGCTACTTCTATTATTCATGTATACCAAAGGATTTCATTTTAATTCCATTTTATTTCCGGTGCTGCGGTACAATCTTCATATTAAAGTAATCGGTACGAGTAAAACTATTCCGGTCATTACAGATAAATAAAATCTGAATAGTTTACTATAATTCAAGTATACAAAATGAAGATAAGTCACAAACAATATTGTTAAGTGTCAGGTGACTATCCAGGAGTTATATCTCATTAGCTCTAATGTCAACACATAATAATTTCATTTTGTTCTAGTTACTCACTCCGTTACAATCAAGAAGGTTAAGGTACGGATCAATGCACGGTAAACGCTTCGATCATTTTCCAGTTGCTACATTTATCGACCAATTTGACGTGTCTAGCATCATACTAGTTTTCTCGACAATATGTAAATGGTTATACTGCCTAGTAATGAGTGAATGTTGTTCCTTTATAGTCCAGATCTTACTCCGTACTGGTCAAAACTGACAGCCAGTTAACTATAAACTTCACTCAGGTTTTATATGATTTGACTTTAATTTTTTATGCTTTGTGTGATACTGCTTTCTTAAAATACTTATTAATTACTACTTTTGATTTAGGGCCCAGAATGGTTGTGGCCAACTGGATACTATCTACGCGCTCGTCTTAAATTCGCTCGCATGCTAGGCCAACTCGATCCTAAAAAATGGGGTCATCTCACTCTCGACGTAACTACAGAATGCCAGAAAACATTTGCCAGACTGAATCAGAGAATGGAATCAAGTCAGTGGTGTTCTCTTCCGGAATTGACAAATGCGAATGGTCAGGTAAGATTTTAGAAATCCCTATTTATATAAGCACAGCATATGTATATTTATCACTCTATTAGGTTCGATTCCTCATGGTTACGTAGTAAAGAAACAGATTGACCACTATGTCTGACCATAATTTTGTTAGCTAGTAAGTCCATTAGCGACGTGAAAGCTTGGACGTAAATGACGACTTTCCAACCACATCAGCACAACTAGATTGATCTATTCTAATGAATAGTGAGGCAGTAGTAGTAGTCGTCGCAGTAGGTCTCAGTGAATTTCATGCTTTACAGTTCATGAACCTCATTGTTGGTTTGTATTGTGTTTGCGAGAATGGTAATGTTATACGTGAGGAAAAAACATAAGCTACAGCACCGATTTCTCCTGATTATTAGTAAGATGATGTAGCATCATAGTATATTGAAAAGATGTGATAATTCACTATCTATTGTGATACTTTAAAATACAAGAAAACCAAAGTATATGTGAATTAATTTCCTGGTGTACTTTTACTAAACTATAGAGTTTGATTTAGTTTAAACTTTTCTGAAGAGTGATTATTAATCTAAGTGGAGGGATTTTTTTCTAATATATGTATAAATTTTGAGAACTGTTATCGGAGCAAGAATGTTTGGTAAGGTTTTTTATTCCACAATTTTTTTACATCAGTCATTGATTTAAAGTTTTTCTGATGCCGAGCAAATATAACTCAGTGACAAAAAAGATTACTGAGACCATAAACATTTTTCAAATGCTGCTAGTGTTTTCTACACTTCATCCCATCTTTCGATGAAGATATGACAGTAAAAGAGTTTGTTTACATAATTAACACTGATAAAATCAACATTAGTTTTTGCAAGTTACGGCTCTGATCTGCTTGAGCTAAATCGACTCCGCGGTAACGAACGAAAGCCAATGACACAATGACACGATAAGCTATTCTAATCTGTTGTCCCAGGCCCCGCTAACTAGACGAAGAAGTCTAAGGCAAGTAGGGGAATATATGTATTCCGTAAGCAGCCGAGTACAAGCAATCAAATAAGGGAAAAAGTCAAGCGCATTTATACAGCAACAAATTGTCCTTGAGCATCATTAATAAATAGCACACACAAAGAAACAATGGACCAATAGCGTTTAAGATAGTTTACAAGTGAGAAATATGACGTGAAGGTAAAAAGAGCGCGTCTGGCGCGAAAACAGCTAAATTCAAATTTCCAAAATAAAATTACAAAACTAAGCCATTTACCAAGTAAGTTCTGGGGATTTGACATCCCCAACAGGCTCAAAGTTCTCTAGAGTTTTCCATGAACTATAACTGAAAAGAATATGATGACATTGGTAATTTACTTACATCCAGGTTGTTTTAATAACTACTATAACGTAGAATCAGAAATATTAGTAATACACTAAACACACTTGGAAACTTTACAGAGGATTACTGTCAATTTCGTGAAATAACGCGAACTTGGCGTAAATCCTGAAAACGGCCAATAACAAATTACTTACACATAAAATAGTATGAAATATTTTTTCAAATTTTGTGGATTGTTACTGAGTAGATAATTTAAAATATTTTTTCGATTTTCAGCTATGTAAAGATAGTTGTGAAGCTCAAGCGTGGAGTGTCGGTTGTATTTTAGAAGCTCTGTATGACCTCATTTTCACACAGAACAAATGAGGTACCCTATACTCTACAACCACGTTAATTATCTTACTATGATTATTATAACACTAGTTCAGCAATCCCTTATCTATAAAATGTTATCTTTATTTTGAAATTTTTATCATAGTTTTGAATGACAGACTGTTTAATTTTGTCCTAATATTTTAAACTTTTACAGGATTTTGCCCATTGTAGTTAATTTTAACAGTCAATTAGTACATTATTCATTATGCAACCTAGATAAATAAAAATCCTATCATGTCGTCTCATAAATGCTTTTGCCAGTGTTCATTGTTGTCTGAGTGCAAATAGATTAAACGACCATCATCATAAACGATATCTAAGTGCTCTAAAAAACTAATCCAACTGAAACACTTGATAAAGCTTCATGGACATGAGGGTTCAATAAATTACATACTCGCGCCTGTTACCCCTCGTAGAACATAGACCCTCAGTAAGAATTATCCAACCAAATATGTCCTAGGCTCTCATTTCCAGTTGTTTCTGATACCTTTTCATTCTTTTGACGTTTGCTTATAATTCCCGAAGCCATTTGTTCATTAGCTCACCTTTCTTTCCTTTGCCTTTAGGATCCCAAGTTTTGAACAGACATCGAACGTAATTCTAAATTCCTTTTTAACACAGTAGTTTGCATGGAAGATACGATAATGCTCCATGAAAAAGTGAACTAATTGCATACATAACAGCCTGCAATATCATTTACGCTAGAAAATTCTATTGTATATTTCTGACTCATGATACTGAGCATGTAAATTACACGAGAAACTCCCCGTCACTGTTAAAGAATCTTAACATTTGTAAATCTAATTCGCTGTAGTTATTATGCTTTCTGGAATACTTGTCATTATAATGATGGTAGGAATAACCAAGCTACTTATACTTGTCATTCCTCGACCCAATCATATTCTTTTCAACAATGACTCCGGCATTCAATATCTCACTGCAATGTATACCATTTACACTCCTTCTACTTAGTCTATTGACTTATTTTTCTAGGCCTATTGTATGACTCCATTATTATTGAATGATAACGTTAATGAAATACACATCCCGCTAAATCTCGTACATATTCGCGGGCTTAATTTGCATCAGTGAATAACGGAATAAAGTGGGCCGAATACGAGAATGAGTTTTGGATACATGTATCTCATTCGTCTGTAAACGCAGACAGACAGTAAGAGAGAAACTGATCGAAGAAGGCAAACGTGGCAACTCAATTTAATGAAGCATGACTCAATATTTATCGTCAGACAGAAAAACCGACTAGATGTATTTGACGAAGAGAGTAAGTGATAAATGTTACATCATAGTGAAGACATAGGTACGGGTAACTTCCGGAACCTACTATTGGTCTTTTATTATATATATATTCTTATTGTATAACTGTCCAGTGAATAGATTATATATATAAACCATGTCCTGCCAAAATATCCACGAGAAGTTAATTTCGATGAAGCTGTTAACATTTTAAATAAAATGTTTTATGAACAGATGTCGTTATTTCGTATCCGTTATAACTCAACAGCTGACTAAAAAAGCTGATGAAGACTATACTACGTACGCCGGAAGAGTAAATTTACAAGCAGAATGACTCAAATTAAATGTGTTAACCAATGATCAGTTTAAATGCTTATTGTTCATTTCTAGTCTAAACTCTCCAAGCGATTCTGATTTTCGCATGAGGTTATTATCCCGTATGGAACAAGACGAGGAAATGACACTACAAACTGTTACTGGTGAATGCCAACGATTAATAAACTTAAAACAGGATACGGCTATGTTGGAAACCAAAAGTGATGCACCATCTAATGATTCCGTTCATGCTGTTATGACAGGTCAACGACAAAATAGTTCCAACAGTTATAAATATCACACGAAAATTCCTAAACCTTCAATTAAATGTTGGCATTGTGGCGCGTGGCACTTCTCAAAATTTTGCTGGTTTAGAAACCATAGATGCGCTATATGAAATAAAGTCGGTCATGAAGAAGCAATTTGCCGAACTAGAGAAAGTTTGAGATCAAAGCCAATGAAGTGTCCTCACCAGTATCAAAACAACTATATAAAAAGTATATATTCTACACTAGCTCTAAGCATAGCAGATAAAAGAAAGTATGGGGAAATGGTATTCATATTCAATTGGATACAGCCTCAGATATCGCATTGATCTCTAAACCAGCATAGAATTTAATTGGTTGTCCGCAAGTATTACCAACTGAGCACACTGCACGGAATGCATCGGGAGATATATTAAAGCTTGTTGGAATCATAAAATGCTCTTTTAAGTTCCGAGAGAACTACTTTATAGGGAATTGTTATCTAACGGACAGGAATGATTTAGACCTTATTGGTCCTGTATCTGCCTAGCCCTTCCAGTTGAGTCCAGAACACCAATTACAACTTCTGCTATGCGAATCATTTATTTCAAGCATACTTGGTTTATATATCAGACAAACAAACCGCATTACACCATAAAATATAAAATATTTGTACAATATCATGATGAAATGTGGCTGTGAACGTGGGAGACAGTAACCAATAATCTGAATATAATTTGGGGACAATAAATCGTACAATAAAAATTTATGGGTCGAAATGAAGCTTATGGTAAGATGAATATATACAGATTAAATCTAATCACTGAACAGTTATACAATAAAAATATACATAGAATAATAGACCAATAATATGTTCCGGAAGTTACCAGTACCTATGTCTTCACTAGGATATAACAATAAACAAACACTCATTCACTTAAGCCTGTTATCCCTTGTAGAATATTGGTCCCCAGTCAGGATAGTCTAACCAACTATGTCTCACGCTCTTCTTTCCAGTTGTTTCCGGTTGCTATTCATTCCTTTGATGTCTGCCTACAATTCCCGGCGCCATCTGTGCTCTTTTTTTTCGCCTTCAGGATTCCAAGTTAGTGATTGCTTCGTGATGCGGTCTGGCGATTTACGCAGTGTGTGACCTACCCACATCCAGCGTCTACTACAAAGTTCCTCTTCAACTAGAGGCTGATTTATTCTTTGCCATAATAGGTTGTCGTTGATGACGCGTCTAATGACTCTTTCATTCGGTTCGACAATACTATTAAAAAGCTTTCCTGCTACTAATAGTGTGATGCCTCGGTAGTTCTCACAATTGCTGAGATCTTTCTTAGCTATCTCGATGAGGTATTCTTCTTTCCAGTCTGTTGGTACTTGCTCTTACTATCAAATCTTTCTGAAAAGAATGTGAAGCATCATTCCAGTTACTTCCATGTTTGATTTCAGTGTTTATGGTAGTATGCTATCTGGTCCTACTGCCTTATCACTCTTGATTTCTTTGATGGCCGCGATGACTTATTCGATTGTTGTTGGAGTAACATCTATGGGGATGTCTGTGTGTTGCCTCAATTTTGTGTGGGGCTTTTGTACTCAAGAGCTTTCCAAAGTGTTCTACACACATAATTCCGCGGATCTTGAATCTGTGGTTGACATGCCATATTTGTCGTGCTAGTTTACCATATTTTCCTGCTTGCTAGGCTGAGTAAAGTATGTAGTTACACTATTAGGTCAATTACACTAATTCCTTGACGAATTATGGTCGGTTGAGTGATACAAATTTACACAAGCATCTGCCTGCCGGGAATTATTGTTTTTATGTTGACCATCCCGAGTTAGCGACGATGTAATGTATCTTAACTGGATTGATGGCTTAGGTTTTAATCTACAAATACTTCGAATAAATAGAATAGGTTGATCATCCGGTTTGCTCGATATTACATCAGCGTATTTCGGTCATCGATGGAGCATTATTTAGAATCCTACTTAAGATCGGGTACTCGAAATATAGGTATACTTTCTGGCATAATTTGACTAGGATACCGACTAAATACATTATATCGTTTCGTATTTTTAAATATCTCATACCTGAAGTATCCACTCCAGGGATGGTGCATTTACAACGCTTTATAACATTAAGCAGCTTTTTAATCTGTAATGACGATAAAATGAAATATCATGAAGTGGCCACCAAAATGAAGTAATCTTGTCATCATTTCATTACACAGGACTAAACCTTAAATGGATACATCTGACCTTTGTTAATTGCAATCAGACTTGTCAATCTACACTACGTGAGCATAGTCCGTGTCTACTTTTATAAGCTTCGAAGGCATCAACTGAGACTTGATAAGTATCTTGCTCAGGTTGGATAGAAGTTCAGAGACAGATTGAATGTTCAAATGAGGAATGTCAAGTTTACTAGTACCAATAATAATGAGTAATGTGAATATTTTATACCATTGTTGACATAACATCAGATTGTGACGGAACACCTTACTGTCAAATGATATCCTGATTTACTTTCTCGGAATTAAAATAATTTATATTTTTCTAACAATTGACGGTTTTGAATTACGGCTTGCCATCTGTAAATTCTAAAGAAACTGCAGCTACTACTTTTACCAGAGTTCGATATTTGTCACACACTTGTATGGTTAATTCGCCTTATCTTTAAGTATTGAGCCTTAATATTATTCCACACCTTTTGTCGTTCGAGTTTATCCTTTCTTTTCAAAATGTGTTCTCCAATGTTTCGTTTTCAACGTTATTATTGGTGATGTAATCACGTCCAGTCTTCCGCTATTTATCTTGTTAAATTTAGTGTTGTTCTATGGTAATGCTTGCTTTTCACTCTGTTGTCTTCATCCATTATATGGATTTCATTTTTAAACAAACGAAATAGGTTATTGTAGTTATTTTCAATCCTCCAAGTTTCTGAAAGACCTCAGTATCAAGATCATTGGATGTATGCGAGACAAACACGACATTACTCAAGGATGTAATTAGTAATCTCAGACATGACCTTACGAAGTAACAACGTTGACCTGCATTTGGCTAGTTGCAAAAACATATAATTGACAAGTTTTTATCGGACATACACATTGTTAAACAAGCCAGATGGTACAAAACCAAAATAGCACCAATTTACAATGGATGATTGAATGTAAATTTTTCAACAGGTATGTTGTGGTCTTGTTAGATTGCAGAACAAAATGAATGCGGCATCGTACAATGGTACAAGATACCTAAAATTTGGACAACAAAGCTATTAGTTCTGCAAAATAGTTGGACAACGTAGTAGAATACAAGGACGCGTTGCGAAAGTTTCTTCTGTGGTCGATTTCTTTTTTATTGGTCCCATCAATTTAATAGGGAGAAAAGTAATAACTACCACGTCGCCTAAAAGCATGGAAGAAAAGATAAACCTTAGACTCTCAGAAAAATAATGATGAATTTTACTACTGCTTGCGATACTTACCGATATCGTGGGAATCGCATTCGGCCAGCATACGCAGGACGGAAACCAATAGACATCCCTCTGCCGCGCGCGCGACCTCTCACAAAAGGGGGACGATTTGTCATGGACATTCCTGGAACGTTTGTACGTTTAGGTAAGACTTTCAACTGTCGACTTCGAAAAGACGAGTCGTCTAAAGCGATTGCAGCCTCAACAGCATCACGAGTATCGAATTCGATATATGCGAACCCTTTAGGGTGTCCAGTAAATTTATTGCATAATATAGTAACACGGTTTATTGGCCCGCAACCACGAAAATGAGCTTCTAGTTCATCGGCCGTAGAACCATAATCAACCTAACTGTTAATTGGGATACTGTATAAACTTACATTTCCGACATACACAGAACGCAAGTCAACTTCAGTTTTATCTTCATCTGACAAATTTGAGTTGTTTGATTCTGCAGCAGAAAATAAATTTCGAAATGCTAAAATGGAGTCAAAACAGTGCATTGTGCAATACAGAAATTTTGGGTAGCCTAATCACGTTAGTTTTTACCTCAACTTTGGGGGGAAGTAGTTTGGTAAGAACGTCACGTAAAGCATATTAAACAGCGAAAACGATTATCTTGCAGATAACTCTAGGAAGTGATTTCCAACATGGGTAACACCACAAAAACGGTTGAGAAGCATTGTTCTAGATATTTTCTGTGCATAAATTAACTGTTATATAGACATCAGACGAGTGACCATTTTAATTCATAAAAGCTTAAAATGAGTCAGATTCGCTAGACAAATGGTCGGGCGATATAAAGATAAGCTAATATCAGTCATCATTCAGGAAAATTTTGGTGACTTTGTCATACTCTAAAAATATCATATTGGTAATTTCCACATTCTGGATTATTTACAGACACTGGGTTTGGTTGGGAGGAATGTGCAGGTGCATGAAAGAGTTGTAAATGATTGGACCTCTCGTTTGGGATCCTAAGAACTGTGTAGCAGTCGGTCATAACAGAAGCCAGTGGCCATCCTGCCTTAGTTTTCTACTACATTTCATACACGATGAGGTTCCTTGCGTGAAAGCACTCGACCATTTTTAATTGAGATCTGCATCTTTTGTCAAATGCCATGTGATTAATTATTTTTTGTTTTATTACTTACCTTTCTCGGATTCTTCATAACATAATCGACTCACTAATGGGGCTCGTTCAAGATGATCTGACGTACCAAGATATACGTTCTCAGAGCTTTCGGTTTAAAATCCATGATCTTAAACCTTGTTTAACCGATCGCGATTCGGAAAGCGATTTGCCACAACCATTTAAGTATCACCGACCGGAAAAGTGCGAAAGCATGTCCTTGAAGAATTGTGCTAAATATCATGTGCCAGGTCCTGTGTTACGATATGATGACAGGCAACAAACTTAAATTAAAATATCTGACCAACAATGTCATGAAACACAAGACGACTAAATGGATCAGATTGGGATCACTTGAATAAACAAGACTGTTTTAATAGTACACAGCAGTGTTAGTGACTGAAGAATTTCTGAGTTTCCAATGATGATACAAATATGTAAACAATTCATACAAGTTATGGGGAGTAGTCCAAATTAAATGCTGGGCAAGCACAAGGCGCTACCGGATTAACAGGAGACTGTTTACTGGCATGCGCCTTTAAACAGTAATTTTGTGACCAATAACATCACGAGATGCTGACAAATTCATAACGATGAAAACGCTACTAGATAACAGAACTTGTAAATAAGCGAGAGGACAACATGACTCACAGTACGAGATACTATGAGCTAAGTACAGGGATATTTCCGTAAAATAAAGATTAATATTTAAAAAGGCAAAAACTTACTTGATATTGGAGACTTGTCGATAACGCGGCGCAAGTCATGCAATTTATTTGCATCTGCTTCGATTTCTTTGAAGCGTTCCTTGATAGCCTCTAACTCCTATAGCAACATGAAATTTTGTAGCACTATTTACAGCATCGAAATGCATTTCATCTGTCACGCTAACGTCCTCCTTTCCGTTTTCATCTCCAAACTCATCCTCATGAACATCGTGATCCCCATCCAGGACATAGTCGCTCATCCTTTTAACCCGCTTAAGGCCACGGCCCAAAACAACTTAAACAATATTGGATTATTGAAATTATTGCTCAAAATCATGTACTTTCTTCATTTCATCATATGCCTAAGCCTTGTCAGAAGTTTTCTTTGACTTCGAGGAGCTAAGATATCCCATTAACAACAGACGCTGGAATTTCAAACGGTTGAATGTGTTAGCCTTACATGACTACCTACAACAGGTGGATTGGGATGTTCAACCTCAACTTGAAGTAAATGCTAATTGGGACTTCTTACTGCACACGCTCATATACGCTACTGAGCATTCAATTCCTCAAATGGTCCCAAAACAGCTACAAACAGCCTACAATCATCAAGAACCGCACTCGTCGTTTGCTAAGCCACAAATGGCACTGTTAGGCAGAATATAAACGAACTGACAACAACGACGCCTACAGGCAATACAAACATTTAAGGAACATATGCACAAAGGCAATAACAGAAGACAGGCTTCAGTACCAGACCAAGCTTACCGATAAAATTGTCTCCAATCCGAAAAGCTTATTACGTTACCCAGCTTCTCTTCGACAAGGCAAAACTGGAATTTCCCAAATGCTAGGTCCTAATGGTCCGACCAATAACGACGGTAATGCCGCGAATCTTTTGGCTGAACAATACCCTCTGATATTTCAACCAACCCACATCAACTACACTGATGAAAGCTTCACCTGCAACTGCACAGAACTTTCCGAATTGGACGTGAGCACTGACCTGGTGTCCCGTAAACTGCAGCACATAAGAAACGACGCTTCTCCCGGTTCGGATATGGTTCACTCTGCTATATTGAGGGAAACAGCTTCAATCCTGGCATCACCACTTACGACGGTATACACGAATGCGTATTATCCTTAAAGTTCTCACCCCAATAGCACGGTTTCAGAAAGGGTCATTCTTGTATGACCAACCTGCTGACTGCGGTGGACAGATGGACAACCATACTTGATCGCAAGGGGAAGGTTGACGTCATCTACCTTGATTTCTCAAAAGCTTTTGATAGGGTCAACCACATATGTCTTGTCAATAAGCTCAGACGATTGGGTATAAAACCCTCTTTGATTGACTGGCTCACTTCATATCTACAAAACCCACATTTTAAGGTCAAGGTTGACTTCACTCTCTCTCAGGCTATGGAATGTCCTAGTGGGGTCCCCCAGGACTCAATACTAGGACCTCTTCTCTTCTTGATTAACATTAGCGATCATCCACAATAAGTCTCATCTGAATTATTGCTTTTTGCTGATGATGTGAAACTTTGGAGAGAGATACCTGACCAAAAGGATATACTAGCACTTCAGGAGGACCTGACTCAACTTCAAAGTTGGTCAGACGACAACGGACATACCTTCAACACTTCGAAGTATGGATTAGTCCATTTGCGACATGTTGCAGACTATAGTTACAACTTAGCAAACTCCTCTCTGGTAGTTTCCCAAGTCGAAAAAGATTTAGGAGTGTTGGTACCCTACTACTTGATGTTGTACGCTAACTGTGAGAAAAACGCCTTTCCAGCAAGCCTTTCACCGGTAACGTTGGGGCGCATTTTTGGCCAGTTTGACGGCAGAGCTTTCTACATAATCTTCAACAGTTTTATTCGTCCCCACTTAGAGTACGGAAACATAGTATTTCCTCTCTCCCTCCAAAAGGATAAGGACACTCTGGAGCGTATCCAACGTCGAGCCACGAAGTTAGTTTGGGGACTCAAATTCAAGCCTTACGAGGAGCGCCCCCAATCACTTAACCTTTACCCGTTAGAGTATAGGCGTCTTAGAGGTGATCTTCTTATGACTTACAGTATCCTTAACACCTCTGGTCATCTCCTTAAACATATTATTAAGCTTAGACACATCACTAACCCAAGAGGTAACACCCAGAAATTGGAGACCGAACATAGCAGAACAGACTGCAGACACACCTTTTATTTCGCAAGAGTTTTCAAATGCTGGAATCCACTGCCTACTGAGCTAGTTCAGGCGACTTCCCAGGAGTCTTTCAAGAGGAAACTTGACTTATTATTAAGGACTAAGGATAACAAATTATTAGGATTTATCAAATTCTTTTTTCCTCTATTATCGTTAATATACCTAGGTTCTTCCCTGGAGGTATTGGTGATCCACTGCTACTAGACACGGAAGCCCGTTAAGCGAAAGCTTCTTCTATTCCGTCCTCAACCATTTGAACCATTTAAACCATTTGATACTTGCATCAACTTGCATCAATAAATGTTTGTCATATAAGAAATAGTAAGTGGGTGTTTCTGAATCATACCAGGGTTTTACTTTATGCCAAAGATTTTCATTTACTCATCCGAAAGGCTGAACATACCAGGTGGCGATTTGTTAAGTAAACACAGAGTCCTTGTTCACTCAGTGCGTAAGACCAAAGGTAAGTGTTGAATTTACTAATGGAATAGTCGATTATGATCTGTTGCTACTGGAAACTTTAAAAGGAAATTTTCGATACACGTCAAATCATCCACATAAGTTATGAACCCAAGTTTAGAGGTGAACTTTTGTAGTGAAGGATTCGTTAGATGCCTCGTGAAGTTTATCTCGAAATTCGACCTACGTCTATTATTGAAAATATTTGCAACACCCATGCTGTTTTGTAGCCATGGTCATGTTGACTGAACGAAATATCTTTTTGCTTTGTACTTGGTACTGAATGTATTGCTTATTTATATAAATTTCAACGAATATATGCAAATTAGCGAAGAAAGTTCATTTTTGAAACTTCGGTCACGTTAGATGTTATGCATCAGCGATTGTGGACAGAGCTTGTAGGTCACCAGTGTACATAAATTACATTTTAGTGTTCTGACTGTGTAGATTTAATGAAGCATTGCTGGTGCCCAACCCAACTGCTCACCAAGATGAACTGATTTTCTTCTTAGAAAACCAATGAGATATAAAAAACGGCTGGTTCAAAGTTTCTGCCTGATTGTTACGTCATATCTACTTTTAATTACCGGCTCTGGAGTGAATTCCAGAAGCTTAACATCAAATCGCTAATGAATACGCTTGTTGTTCACATTTTATTACATTCATACAAAGAGTGTATAAGTCATTCAGCTTAATATCCACATATATATGAAAAATAAAGTTCGGGGTTTTTGTGTGTATGGTAAGTGTTATCGACCTTTTTCGGGGTTATTATCTCACCATAGAGGGGTAAATTTATGCTGATTGACATTGACGTTTGTTAAATATATGCCTACTATTCTCACTTTATCACGGCTATTTCAGTAGATCAATGATAGGTTGACTTAATATCGGGATGTATGAGCCTAGTTTAGTCACGTTCATAAAAACAACGAAAATACACCGTTAGTTGGGCGTACTTGCGAGCACCGTTGGACTTTCAATTATATCTTTACGTTTAGGCACTGAACAACATGTTGTGATGTATCATCCGAATAAATATAATTACTTACTAGCTGTGCGCCGAATGCACGCTAATGGTGCTTTGAAGTAAACACATTTAGACGTCTTTAAAGAAAATTATTCATTTTCAACTGCCTCCTGTATTTTTAAAATGACGTTTGAATGATCATGGACTTATTTTATTCCAACTGTCTATTCAGTTAATAGCCAGTGATATTCATAAGAGACATCGATAATGAAGTTGGAGATTTCAAAGTCAGGTTTTTCTTATTACGTCGTTTCTTCCAAACAGAATCTAAATTCATTAAGCAAATCGGAAACAAAGATTTAGCAAGATATTAGTAAACATCTTTTCAACTGCTTTTTCTGTTAATTTATCAGTTCTTGTTTACCAACAGCTAATGTTATAATGATGAGTATGGAAACTCAATTGTCAAAATAGCTAACAAATAAAGTTCAGTTCACTTTTGAAGGCGAATACTTTCGCCAGATTGGTGTGGTCGCTATGGGTAGCCCGTTAGGACCATTACTAGCAGATGTGTTTATGGCACATGTAGAAAATTTATCTGAAGACTTAATGAAAAACGTGTCACTTTATAAGAGATATGTGGATGATATCTTAATAATCAGTGAAAGAAAAGACGATATAAACTGCCTATTGAATAAATTTAATACTATCCAAAACCATATCAGTCTTCCATGTGAAGAGGAGAAGAACGACCAACTTCCCTTCTTAAATGTACTTCTAAACAGACGAGAAGATGGTTCAATAAAACGATCCATTTTTCGAAAACCGACGTGGACGGGTCAATATCTTAGTTACTATAGTTATTGCCCTGTACAATACAAACGTGGTTTGGTAAAGTGCCTTTTTAAACAGGTTTCGTCGTATTTGCACAAATGACGCTATTGATGACGATGTTAAGTTGTCAACCAAGACATTAACCGGGAATGGCTATCCACCTAAATTTATCAATAGATGGAAAGTTCAGGGCACAGCGAGACTTACTGTAGCCTTGGTAGTGAAAAAGCCTGTCTACATCACCATACCATTTAGAGGTGATTCAAATAGCCTTTAATCGAAACAAAGGCTTAAATCTGTTATCAACAAAACGCATTGTGCTGCGAAAGTCATAATCAGGGAAAGAATGAGGCCCATGCTTCATTCAAAACCTAGACGACATGAAAACGATTGTGTCACATCCCACTGCGTTTACCAATTTAAATGTGTGTGTGGTCACACATACATAGGGAGGAGCAATCGTGATCAAAAACAGTTTGTTCTCCCTTTAAACCTACCCTGGTAATATATGCTTATTATCCAGAGTGATTAGGTGTCAAATTGTTTTCACATTATTTTATCATTATTATCCTTGTTTATTCTTACCCCTATTTCCAGTCCAGTCGACCTTTTATTTTTTATATATAAATGTTCTTAACAAGTATATGTGTGATCAGGTTGTTGGAAATGTATTGCGCCAATATATCACATAGTTCTGATGATCTTCGTCTTCTCATTACGTTATCGAAAAATTGTGTCCATGACAAGGTGATTAAATTCTGGTTACTCGTTACAAATCAATAT